GGCCATGTCCCGCTTGCACTAGGACAATGCCGCGCCAAACCCGGGAGCTAAGGAGGATGCCATACATGTGCCACGCCATCTACATGCAAAGTATGTTAGGATTTTAATTTCCTATTTTGACTAGGAAATTGAGTTCCTAATTGACTTCCAAAGCCAACACCTTTTCCATATAGGTAAAGTACTCCTAAACAAGGTATGTTTCTTACTTTTTACTCTAACTAAAACCTCTTAGGACTAGAATTTGATCACTATATAAAGACACCTCTATTTCTCTTTATTCATCAAATCACAAGAAGCAAAATTTGAGAGCTTTAAAATTCGGCTAAGAAGCAAATTTTTGAGCAAGGCCGATTAGAAGAGAAGTCGACTAGAGCAAAGTCCGACTTCATAAGAGGCAAGTCGATAAGGAAGTCGACTTTTGGAAGCAAAGTCAATTGAACAAGTCGATTTGGCTATTCTCCTCAATTTTAGAAGAAGTCGACAACCCCTTTTTCAATTGAAGATGTCGATGATGCTAGCAACAACAACTAAGGATTTTGAAGTTCAATTCAAGAAGTTTAAGGATCAATTTTATCGAATTGGAGCTTCTCAACTAGGTCCAAAGTTTCAAGGAAGTTTTATTCGCCAAGATTGCCATGAACTCTTGAGCATGATTTCGTTGCTACCTAAGGATGAAATTGAGGCTAAGCCCGGTTTCAAAGCTATGATGATTTATCAATTTCTTTGGGACAAAGCTAACAAGTCGCATGAAGCTGTTTTAAGATCAAAGGAAAGAGCTGAGAAAGAATTTGCAAAGCGTTTCCATCCCTATGGAAATCGAATCTCTCAACCAAGGAATTTCAATAGGAGAATTCGACCTCATGTTGCACCTTGGAGTAAGCCTGATGGGTATCGCACCAAACCCTATAGGCCACCCTATAGACCTCCTATGCGATGTGCCCCTTTTCCTCAACGGTTTCATGACCCTTTTTATGCTTCTTCATCTAATCAACCAAGAACTGCACCTGTTGCTACTGTTTTTACCTTGGAAGAATTAAAGGATAAACCCTCAATTTCAATTGGACCAAGAGATCCATTGTATGAGGAAGATCAAGGTGAAGATGATATTGTGATAATTGCTTCTGCTACTGAATCAAGTGATGCTTCTAGTGATGAGAATAAGGAAGGAAAAGAGGAGGAGAATCAAGAGAAGGAAAATAAGGAGGAATTTCATCCTTTCCTTGCTCAATTTAAGGACTTAAGTGATCAAGTTGCTAGCTTAAGAGAGGATTTTGATACTATAATTGTGAATTTGGAAAACCTCTTCAATTTATTGGAGAAGGCTATTCCTAAACCAAGTTAGGTTTTAAAATTAAGATTTTAATTTAGGATTTTATTTTTAAGCATCTTAGATTTAGTTATTTAGTTTATGCTTTATCTTTAATTTTCTTTATTTTATGTCTTTATTTTTCAAGTTTCATTAATAAACTATCTAGTTTTATATACCTATCACTTTAATTTTTATTGTCTTTCTTTTCGAGTAATTATCTTCATCAAAGCCGCCCAGGTATGTTTCATGAACCTTAACTCTTTATTTTTTTTAAGCAATTTTTGCATGCTTTGATTTTATGATTGCTTTTACATTGAGGACAATGTGAATTTTAAGTGTGGGGGGTGAATACTCGATTGAAATATTGATTGATTATTGAGTCATATGATAGTCTTTTGCATGAGAATCTAGGATAAAAATATGATTGTTTTTGAATCGTCTATTTTCCCCAAATTTTTTGAAAAAGATTTTTTGAAAAAATTGATTTTTGAAATTGAAAATTTTGATGATTTTTCAAACTCTTTGATTTTTCAAGCATATATTGAATGATTGATTTGATGATGATTGATGAATGATTAGAATTTTAATGATGCTTTATTCTTTGATTGATTTATAGTAAGAAGTTTTGATTTCTTAGAATTAGGTATAATTGAAGTTTGTGATATGATCTTATTATTCAATGCTTTCATGATTATCTATTTCTAGAACTTGTATTGAATTTTGATTGAAGTTACAATTAAGAAAGCAATGCTATAGATTTAGTCAAGATAAGTGTGGGGGACTATCTATATAAAGGGCAATTAAAACCGTTTTCATAAAGAAGTGATTTATTGCAAGAGGAGAAGAGATATTTTCTGTTTAAAAAAAAAACTCCATTGTTGTCACTCTTCTCTTTAAACAAAAGGAGTTAGTAACCCTTGGGAAGAGGATAAGAGGCATGGATCAACAGAAATATTGTCCCTCTAGAGTGCTAGTAGCCTCAAAATAAAAAATAAAGGGAGTTAGTAACCCCTAAGCATAAACACTTCAGAGGTTAGTAACCTCAGTTTTCTAAAACAATTACCCTTGAAAAACTATTATAACCCACATGAATCCTTGATTTGTTTATGACATTGTAATCTTTTGAGTAATGGAGAGAAAGATGAATATACAAGCTTATAGAGAGAAGTAGTTATAAAAGTAAGGGATGGTAAGTAATTAGAGCTACTTTGATTATGGCTACTTAAGAATGATAATGCTTGCTATTGATTGATCTCTGGATTAAGTATTATTGATGTTCTTTGCTATTTTGATTTCATGATTAAATTGATTCTTTGATATATGAATGAAGTCAAATTGATCTTTTGGAAATTTTGATTTTTGATTAACTTACATTGATTTTGCTAAGGGACTAGCAAAGTTCAAGTGTGGGGGAAATATGATCGAGCTCAAATTATGCATATTTTTATAGCTATTTTTCTATACTTTTTACTACTTTTATATGCATTTATACCTTATTTTCTAAGTATTTGTGTTTTTAGTCTTTATGAGATGTGAAATTGAGAATTTGCTTATTTTCACTACTTTTGGAGCTATTTTGATTACTTTTTACACAGATATTAGCAAAGTAATTTTGAGTATATATTTGGAGATGCAAAGTTCGTGTTTGAAGATTTCTTGAAGATAATTTGAAGATTTGAAGATCATTGAAGAATTATTTCAAGGTAGCAAGAATTGAAGATTGGAGCTAAAATTGCAAAGGATTGAAGCCAAGCCCAGAAGAAGCCCTGAAGCTAAGGAATTTTGGATTATTTATATGGGAATATACTTAGCCCATATAAACCTATAATTGGAGTTAAAATCCCAATTTGTGGGCCCAATATCCAAAAGAATATCCAAATCCCGCATTAATCCCGTAGATTTGCGATATAAGCCCTATTTCAGCGCAGTCTCGGTAGAAAGGCCATAACTTTCTGCTCAGATGTCCGTTTTAAGCCCATGAGTACTCGTTGGAAAGCTAACTCCGAGCTCTACAACTTTCCTTTGAAGTCTGAAGCCCAATTCTGCCGATTTCAAGCCCGAATCTGCCAGTGAAGTTTCTGCAGAAATCCAGAAAATTCCAGAATCCTATTTTGACTTGGATTCTATTCTAGGATGACACCTAATCCTACTTAGAGTCCAAGACAGCCCTAAACCGCCCTACCCTTGTTTCTCCACTATAAATAGCCACCTTAGGTCTAGATTTTAGAAGTAAATTTTATTCTTCATAAGATATATTGTTTAGTTGAAGGTTTGGAGGAGAAAAACCCTAGGAGCCGCCGCCCCTTCTCTTCCTCATCCATAGATAAGTTTTCTTCTTCTTATTTGCGGATGATCACTCAATTTATGAGTGAGTAATCTTTTCTTCTCTCCAATGTAGAATTTAATTGATCTCTTGACTAATTCCATGGTGAGATTTTTGTGCTTTTATATGAGAATTTATTTGAGTATTTCTTTGGATCTCTGTATGAATTCTATGTTGCTTGTTTTGATTGACTGGGTCGACACTTTCATGATAAATTGAGTTAGCATTAGCTAGATTTAGGTTGTGAATTAATCACTCCAGCTTAATTTTATGTAGCAATTGGATGTGAATTAATCCTCCATCCAAGAGAGAAAAGAATCAATGGGCGAGAAATTTCTCATTGTGTTTGTTATTAAATTACTTGTTCTTCATGCTTTATTCCTAAGTGATCTCTAAGCCCTAAGAAAGTAATTGATTGCTGAAAGAGTAAAAGGGATAGATTGACTTTAATCGGTAATCTAATCTAATTAAGGTAATTTAGGTTAAGTCCGACAAGCTATTCAAGGTTCTCATAATCTTTAGATATCTATGATCCATGTTATTGTTGTCAAGAGGGATATTAATTCTATGTTGGAGGTTGTTTCTATTTAATTGTTATTTTCGATATTATTCACTGCTTTTTGATTAATTGTTTTCTTTAATTTTCTTGATTGCTTTCGTAGTTAATTTACTTAGTTAGATTTAATTTTAATTCTTCTTTAAATTCTCTTTATTAATTTGTTTTTTTGAGAAAAGGAAGAGCCGTTCTCTCTGTGGGATCGACCCCTACTTGCCCTAGCTAGTTTAGTTAGTAATTGTTGGGATAATTATTTATTTTATGGTCATTGACGACACGATCAGGAGGCATCTCCTGAAACAAGGGAGATACCTTCTTTGTTGCTTTCTGCGCCACTTTCATGTCCATGTAAGAACATGTGGTGCAGAGAATCCTACTTTTTCCTTGCATCCTTACTGGTTAGTTGTCCATCTTTTGGGAGATTAAACGCAACCATGTGTATAGGAGTTGGGAAAGGGTCCTTGTCAACTCCCATATCCTTCTTGGGAGGCTCAGGGAACTTTAGTATTCCCTTTTCTATCTTCTCTTGTACCATATTTTTGAACACAGTACAGTTGTTGGTTGAATGCCTCCATGAGTCGTGGTACTTACAGTACTCTCTTCCCTTGATGGCTTCAAGTGGAGGGAGGACATGTCATGGAGGAAGCTTGATAATACCAGACTTGTACAAAAAATCAAAAACTTCATTCGCTTTTGAGACATCATACGAATAAGTTCTGCTTCCGTCATACGGCTTATTTTCTGCTTGGCGTTGGTACATGGTGGCAAACCTATATTGTGTCTGAGGATGTCCAATCCTTGCCTTTACTAGGCATGGACACTTAATAGGCCCATCAACTTTGACTTCAGCAACTCCAAGTTCAAAATTTGGCTCTTGATAGTAAGTGCCATATGATGAACTTCTTCGTTCGTTTTCCTCTCGCAAGGGAACGTCTCATATCTTGCCACTTTGGTTGACATCTCGAAAAAATCTCTGAAGTCGACTCCTTCGAACTTCTTTCGAAGTTCCATGTCAAGTCCATTGTTTGCTAGGCGCAGAAATTCTTCCTCACGGAGTGGGGTGCAGCATCTGTTCCTTAGCTTTTTGAAACGAGCCAAGTAGTCTTCATCCAACTCTCCTTTCTTTTGATAGAAGCGTGACAGGTCAGCCATGGAAACTTCTGGTTCAGTTCGATAGAACTGTGTGGGGAACATCCTCTCCATATCTTCCCAAGTCCTTACTAAATTGGGTGGTAAGTTAATATACCACGTGAAGGCTGCACCAGTGAGGGAGTTGGGGAACAAACGGAGTTTGTGATATCCTAAGTTAGCTTCTCCGCATTGCAGTGTGAAACGAGCAATGTGTTCCAAAGTTGTCTTCTCAATTGAAGTTCCAAAGAAACTTGAGAAGTCAGGTACTTTGTACTTTCTTGGAAGTGGATGAAGCCTATCATATTCTTCAGGATATGGTTTGTGGAAAGATGGTCGGCCAACTTTTCTTTAGGCGAAACCAATCATGTCCTCAATCATCTCCCTGATGTGATTTTGATTGACTGGACCTTGCATCTCAGCAACTTGAAATGGAGGACGTGGAGCAGGATGGCGTTGATGGCAATTCCTTGCACCATTGACATTCCTGACATGAGGTGGTACATAGGCTACCACTCGAGGTCCAACAATGTTGACCTTTCCCTCAATATTGTCAACAATGTCCTCGGCAACTTCTGTCGAGGGAGGAGTTCAGCTTCATTCTCACCTCTTGCTGCTCCATCTCTAGGAGGTGGTACATTATTATTACCAGCAGCATCAACTTGGGGTACAACTCTCACTTGATTGGCACCATTGTTGTTAGCTGGTGCCACAGGTGGAGGAACTGGCACAGGGAGATCAACAACGTGTTGTTATTCTTGCGCCACTTATTGGATTTGCCCCCCGAGTCTATCTTCCACCAGACCAATCTGAGCCATAATGTTTTCTCGATTTTGCATCGTTTGCTCCTTAAGTTGGTCATGGGACTTGTTCATTCGATCTATTGATCCTATAAGTTGATGCATTTTCTGCTCATGCGCCAAAGACATTTCATTCATGGCGTCAGTGAGGTATTGCAGCAGGATCTTCGAATTAGGGTCTAAAGGTAGTGGTGAAGGGTCTACTATGGCTTTGCTTTTGGTTTGCATGCCATGACTTGACTTCCCATCATCACCTTTTAGCGGCATGTTTGCCACTTGGAACTAAAAAGAAAATACGAAAAAAGTAATTAAAAGAACAAGAAAGCAAACCCTAGAGGCGTTGAAGGAGGAGGAACTAGTTGTCGTGTCCTGCTTCGATGACATCAAAGGGAGTGTGTAGGTGTGGACCTTGCAGGAGGCGGACACCGTGTTGAGAGATTGAGAGTGAAGGAGTCGAGGATCACCAACTTTGAGAGAGAGAGAGAGAGAGAGCTTCTAGAGACACCGAGGAAGGAAGACAAATCTTGTTGTGTCCCACCAGGCGTGCCAAAAATCTCTTGAAGATTTTTTGCGTTAAAAACTTTACTAGTCAATTTGCTGAAATCGACAAAGAGGTTGTAGAAACTGGATCTGGTGCACGGAGCAGCAGATTAAAGATCAGAGCGATTTGTGGGGACTGGATCAAAGTCACACCGGAGCATTTAAATCATTGGATCCACAAGATGAGTCCTAAATTTGCGCTGCAAGAGCTGTTGTTGATTGAGATTGAGAGAAAATAACAAGTTGATTGTTATTGTTGAGAGAGAAACACAGTACAATGTTTTAACGTCCGGAGAAAGATTGAAAAGACAAATAACACTAAAAAGAATGTTCTTTTGTTCGGAGACAAGATTGAAACAAGAGAAATATGAAGAACGAGTAAGAACTAGTGATGAACAAGAGAAAAAGCACGGAACTTGGTTTTTTACGCGGAGCAAGTTTGTAGCTGCAGGAGCTTATTTGTGTAGCTGTGGAAGCGTGTTTGAACCTCTGGGATTGATTCCTTTATATAGGGGGTGGCATGGGCCTAAAACTTGATGGGCATGACTTGCTCAGGAAGGCGAATTCCTCCTCCTTAGGAGATGACAGCTTCCAAGAAGGTGAGGTGAAGCTTCCTTCTTCTGCTGATAGCTTCCGACGGCTGGGAGGAGGGGGGAGACTACTCCAAGGTGTCATCCCTCTTGATGGAGGACGGCAATCTTCCCTCTTGATGGACGATGACGATTTCTCCCTCTTCCTATAGCAGTTCAATATGCCTTCGCTGCTTCCTTCGAGTTGAAATCAACTACTTTGACTAAGAAGTCGCCTTCGGAGATCAAGACTTGGATTCTCAACATGAAAGCCACGAATTTGACTATACTTAGTCATATTTAGCTCATCAAATCATAAAAATATCCTTCTATTAAGAAAATGGCTAAAACCGGGGTGACAAAGCCACTTGTTCTTAACTGAAAAGAGTGTAAAAGTTGCAAATGAGATCGGATTAAGCCTGAATTTCACCAAAAGGGTTCAAATATCATCCTAAGATCATGGGAAAATCTTGGTCGAAATTGAGCTCTCCTTCATGGTGAACTTGGTTTCACACCCCAAACCGTCCTTAACTGAAAACCGTGAATAAGTTTTTCCTCTTAAGTCCGATTGAGATGAAAATTTTACCAAGATGATCTACATGACTCAAGGATCATCATGGTATGCTTCCTTGTTGCCGCACTCCCTAGCTAGACTAATTTCTCTAATTTCGCTATTTTGTCCTTAATTGAACAAAATGCAAATTTACCTCCCGGGAGAGAGTAACTAGCTGGGCGGCCTCATCATTATGTTAGAGTGATCATGTATGAGGGATGTGAGAAATAAAATCTCACACCTCCCTTGTAAAAGCATGGTAAACTGCTTGCTGACAAACATTGACTTGCTGACTCCTTAGTTGAAGGGAATAAAGAGGCAGCTTCCTAAGAGCAGGGCGGTCCCTCCTCATCATGGGAGACGACTTGGGCTTGTTATGTGAGTCCATAAGATGTTTTCCATCCTATGGGGTGATGGCATACAACTTCATTTTTTACTGCTTGTCTTTTTAGATGATAGCAGCATTAAAGGGAACTGCCTCTTCATGATCTATCATGCCTCATCCCTAGTCAGGGCGGCATTCTAAGGGAACATAATAATAATTATTCTGGAAAATAATTATTATTTAATAATTAATTAATAAATTTTGGCCCTTAGTAATTAATTACAAGATTTTCCTAATTCTATTAGAACTAGGGTGGTGCAAAAACTAAGTTTCATCAGGATTTTTTATTAAATCTTGACCACTCATCTTGACTATATTTATGTGAAGACCAATTTACCCTTAATTGTAAATTAAGGTATAAACAGGGTGTCTACAGGGTCCTTGTGGATTAGTGAGCACATCTGAAAAATATATGCACGAATCTTCTCATATTGTTACAATCAATCAGTAACATCAGGCTTTAACATGTCGATCAGGTCATATAGTTTAAACGTACATGTTAAACACATGATTACTAAGAGCTCATGCTTGTAGCAAATTTCTGTTGATCCGATCAATAACATATCCTCTTTTGCTCTCACTAAATACAAAAATAAACCTTGCATTCATAAATAAACAAATAATTACATGGCATGTCTAGATCACAAAATCAGAAAAAAGACTGTTATACGCATCTTATAATTTATCAAACTGGAGGTTGAGTAGTTTAGATATTACCTCGACCTTTACTTCTATTTCTAGATTCACTTCAGAATTAGAGGTAACACCATCAGACCATGTTAGTGCCACCATGGTCCTCATTTCCTCGTGGAAGTATTATTTCAGTTCAAAGGGCTTCAAGACCCAATCTGTCCAGATTGCTTCCACTAACAATGCACTGAATTCATTACCCTTGCTCATTAGCCATTTCCTCTCAAGTAGCTTATTCTATCTTCTAGTGACCAAAGCTATTTCTCCAAATCAATGTCTTCTTCTTCATGACTTAGAAATCCAAATTTTCTTTCAAGTGCTTTATACCTTTAGATCGACCCCTTTCTTTCTTCCAAAACAATAATCCATCTCTTCCTTGATTTTACTCCCACAAGTGATGAGACATCGAAGAGACGAGAAGGAGTAACTGACTAACCTTTAATCCTACCAATCTGTTGCATTTAATCACTCTTGAGGATGTTAATCCCAATTCAACAAGAGGCTGGCTCTGATACCACTTGTTGGTCTCGTAGGACAGTGCCAGAAGGGGGTGAATTGCTACTTCTTCGAAACTCTTGAAGCTTCTGTTGTTACTGTGTTGAAGCATGAAGAAACACACTACCCTCTACAAATTGTCTCTCCATGCTTCTTCATCATTTGAACTTGTTTATATATGATGAAATAGAAAACTAGCCGTTTCTAACCGTTCTGGTGCGACTGACAACAAATTAATCGTTATTTTGTCGTTTTATGGCGCTGAAATACAGTCTATCAAAGTCTGTTTGTACAGTCCATTAGTGTCACTAATTTTCTGCTCCAGTTAGTCCCACTAATGTTTATATAAATTTCCATCAGAAATTTTTGTAGACTTTCTTCATGCTGAGTGTATTGGGACTAAGTCTCCTGACTGTATTTCCATGACTCTACTATTGCTGTGATCATTGTTATGTTGGAATCTTCTTTAAAGACTTTAGCTCGAGCTTCTAAGCCCACTGACATGGTCCAGACTACTTGCATTCCATGTTTCACTCTTTATTGCCAATGTATTGAAGATTTGAATTATGCTTCCTTGTCCGATCTTCATCTTCATAGTTGTAGCATTATTCTCATCTACATAGACAATCACGATTGTGCAATTTACTTCTCACTAAGCTTCTCATTCTTCCTTCCATGCTTCATGTTTCAAAAGATTAATTCCATTGCTCCACTCATGAAGCTTCCAATTTAAATCTATTAAGCCTTTGATGAGAAAGCTAGTAATCCACAAGGTGTCCAATTTAGTCACTTATTGGTTTGCTTGACCTTTTATTTTATTCCACTTCAATTCTCTCATTGATCTTCTCCATGCTTCATATTCCCTTAATAAATTGATCATGGAGTTCTCTGCTATGAAGCTTCAAGTCTATATCTTTAACTCCATTGAGATTCTTAATATCATCAAGCAAGGCATCTAGAAAGGCTGTTAGTGCAGTTAATGATATGCTAATATTGTACCTGCACACTTAGGAGCTTTGTTAGACTTAAATGAAGAGAATGTTTTGTTATCATAAAAAACACATGGAGTTCAACACTGGCAACATTTCTCTGAAGGCAACCGGAATAAGTCTCTGCATAAACATATGACAGTCATGACTTTTCATGCCTTTGAACTTCAATTCATTCATGATTTCATGTCAACATATCGACCAAGATTTCCATAACTTTCCATAGTGAGGTATAAGTTCATTTCATTCATTTGATCTCTTTATTCATAAGATTATAAAATTATTAATCAAATTTTTTTTATGTTTGATGTTTATATTTTCCATTAAGGAAGCTTGATTACTATAATTACATTGTAGGTATAAGTTGACTGCTATTAATGTGGACCATACCAAAAATATACCATGTGCGCTCCTCGACGCATAAAGCAGCTCGGATCTGTGATATTTCCGCTGAAGAAATGTTTCAATTGAGCAATGTGGTTATGAATTTTTTTTATAAAATTATATGTATGGTTAAATCATATCTCTGTGATATTGAAAACAAATATTCACAAGAAGATGGAGATGCAAAATGGAGAAAAAATTGGAAGAACTGATAGGGGTAATTACATATTTGAGTTGGAGATTAATGACTACAACCTCTATCATGGAAGTTTAACTTTGACAGCAAACGTGTAACTTCGTCAATTTATTGAACTGTTGAAGATAAAGAACTTCATACAACACAAGCTAAAACACTATTGAAGATGAAGAACTTCACACTACACAAGCCAAAAAACTATGTCCAAGCATGTCAGAAACAAATTGATCTATTTTAATCCTAACATTACAAAAAAAAATTGAAAATTATTTTATATGCAAATGTGCAGGTGCACAGAAACTGAGAACAAAATCCGGGATGGTTTGCAATAAATTGATTTCAACTCTTTAGACAATTACTGACCTTTTCGCAAGTACACTCCATATATATGTTTTTCAAGTGTATTTTGATGGATAATTATGATTTATGCATTATTACTATTTCTTTTCTACTTGGAGTTTTAAACATTCATATATAGATATAATTTTTTTATTTCATAATATGAACAATGATTTAAATTGAATTAAAAATTTTGTATTAACTCAATCATTTTTCTTAAGTCCATTTCAATAAATACGTTTTTTTTTTTTTTTGAGAAAGCAGACTTCTTTCATTCATTCCAAAAATCGATATTACAAAACGTGCGGTGGATTCCCGCACCAAACATAATTGGCATTTATAGTACAATCTAATTTTGCCAAATTATGGGCTACACTATTCGCAGATCTACCTACATGATTAAAAGAAACATAACTAAATTGAGCAGCTAAAATCCTAATCTGTTCTATCAAGATTCCTCCTTCCCAAAGGACTTTCCCTACACGTTTAATTTCCTGAATAGCCAATAGAGAATCACACTCAATCTCGCAATTCAAAAAACCACAATTCATTGCCAAAATTAAGTCAAATCGTATAGCATAAATTTCGGCAAATAGTGGGTCAGGCACTTTGTCAATTCTACTAATTGCAGAGACCAACACTCGTACATTCTTATCTCTAATAATCGCACCCAAACCTGCCTGGTTCAAATCCTTCTTAAAAGTAGCGTCTGTATTGAGCTTAAAATCTCCCATGGATGGTGGAGACCAAAGCTGGTACCCCCTTGGTTGTGGAATCAAATTTAAACGCCTGTGGGAAGCTTCATGCTCAGTAACTATCCGAGCTGCTGTTGTACACACCGAGGATGGGATTTTACAAACTCCTTCATGAAGAGCAACATTCCTATTATGCCATATTAACCAAAGTAAGGAAGACGCCAACTCCATCGATCCCAGCTGACTGGCCTTTATGAACAAACACTCCCAAAAATTGTCTGTTGATGCCCAATCGTCCAAATATCCTTGTATCCATGGACAAGACATGTCCCACACCCGACGGCTAAAATAGCAGCCAAAGAAAACATGGAAAAGAGAAGACTCTGCCTCCGAGCAAACTGCACAGCCTCCATCAATCCCCACTCCCCTGTTCTGCAAATTGATTTTCGTTGGTAAGATATTATATATCAACCTCCAAAGGAAGTACTTCACCTTTGGAAGAAGAAAAGCTCTCCAGATGATGCGCCATATCTCCTTTCTTTCCTCCACCTGATTTAATTCTTTACCAAGCAATCTCCGAGCCACACAATATCCACTTCTTACCGTATAATGACCATTACCTGTGTGATTCCAAATTAATGCATCCTTCACCATCAAACTCGTTAATGGAATGCAGAGAATACAATGAACATCATCAAGCTCAAAAAACTCATCCAACAAATCCACATCCCACTGTCTATCTGGAGTCATTAGTGAACTTACTAGATGCGAAATACAAATTGTATCGGGCTTTGGTCTAGGCTTATAATCAGGAGGTTTTTTCAACCACTTGTCCCGCCATATATCTACATTTAAACCATCCCCAATTCGCCATCTACTACCCAACTTCAAGACCTCATGCCCTGCCAACAAACTCCTCCAAACAAACGAGGGGTTACTCCCCAATGGAGCTGTTAAAAATGTGCCCCTAGCAAAATATTTAGCCTGTAGTATTCGAAGAACAAAGTGAAGTCTATCATCCTGAACTATTCTCCAAACATTGTTTTGCTAAAAAGAGCTAAATTAAAAGCGTCGAAATCCTTAAAACCCAATCCCCCATCTAACTTCGCCACACACAACTTATCCCATGATTTCCAAAGTATTTTCCTTCGAGAATCATTGCCTCCCCACCAAAAATGAGCAATCATCATGTTCAACTCATGAACGAATGTTTTTGGAAATTTGAAAACGCTCATCAGATATGTTGGTATTGCTTGCACAACCGATTGAATCATCACCGCTTTTCCTGCAATAGATAACAATCTGCCATTCCAGTTCTAAATCCATTTCCATAACCTATCCTTAATCACCTCAAGCTCTGCTCGCTTTGATTTCCCAATCATTATAGGCATTCCCAAATACTTGTCACGGGTTAAGATTTTATGAATTCCCAAATACTGCATAATCGAAGCACGAATAGAGTCCGGAGTGTTACTACTAAACAGAACTGTCGATTTATCCACATTTATCAATTGTCCCGATGCTAACTCAAATCTCTTCAGCACCCTACTCAACACCTCACACTCAGCTACTGTAGCCCGTAAAAATATCAAACTGTCATCTGCAAAGAACAAGTGAGACACCCTCGGAGCAGTTCGAGCAATGGATATTCCACGAATCTCACCCATCCTCTCCGAATGCTATAATAAACAAGACAGACCCTCCATACAGAACAATAAATACGTTTATTTATAACCGTCAAACAATGTTACTACCAAACATACTAATTTTGGCAATCCCACATCGCGCGGGTCACAAACTAGTTATCATTTATGTTTGTATTCTTATTCCAATAATAAAAATTATATCTTTTATTTACATACGTTTAATTTTGAAAACATAGATACTATACAAACTTTCATTATTTTCATTTGAAAAACAGATTTTTATTTTCATATACCAAACGTGTAATCTAAAATATAGAAAATAGAAACTGGAATAAAAAAATAGAAATAGAAAACATTCTAATATGTTTGGTAGCAGAAAGCATTTTCTGTTTTTAATTTCTAAAAATGTCGAGAAAACCAAGTAACACAACATGTGTGCATGAAAATAAGCATAGTTTTAAAAAATGAAAATAAAAATGTAGTAACAATTTCAAAATAAAATAAAAATGTTTTACATTTTCACTCAAATGCCATTTTCATTTTCCAAAAATCTACTCATTTTCATTGACACGTGGTGCGTGGCTCTTTGATTTATTTGATATTTTTAGAAAATGAAAACAAAAAATATTTTCTACTACCAAACATAACTTTAAATTTTCCAAAAAAAATACACAAGAGGTCGTTTGTTCTGTGTCATTTTAATCACTTTCTAGAGAAAGTATAGGTTAAAAAATAATTTTAAAATGTTTGATTAATTTTTCTAGAGAAAGTTTAGGGTCTCACTAACCCAAATACTTTCTCTCGAAAGGGAGAAAATATTTTCACAAAGGAGTTTATATTTTCTCACCTTTTTTTATGAAAGTGGTTGTGAGACAAAATTACTTAAAGGATCTTGTTTTTTAAGGTTAAGAATGTTTAGCAAAAAAAAAAAAATTTGGATATATATCAAAGATATCTTAATAAATTTGACTTTACTTTCATAGAAAAATAACAATCTGATAAAATATTTTAAAACACTTAGCTAGAATTTTAATTTAAAGTTTAGAGGATTAAACAAACATTTTAAAGTACTATTGAAAAGATCTTCTATGGAAAACTTTCATCCTTTTAATTATCTAGGGAAATTTTCCAAACGGGATCTAACCTGTTTTCTAAATATTGTTTTCTGAAACTCCAAATTTGCAAATTAAACAGAGCCTTTCGTCATTCGTTCCTTCCCCAAGTCTAATCTTCCATTTATCTCCGAAAAATGCCCAGGACATAGTTGAACTTTAACCTATAAATTAGGCCCTAAACAAACCCAAGGAATAAAAAGGCCCACGGAAGCCCATGATTTTGTTAGGAGAGGAAAATAATTAATTGAATTAATTTTTTTTTAAAAAAAAAAACTCAACAAAGGCGAGTGAAGATGAGAACACAGAGATCCCTAAATTGGCGAGTGAGAGAGAAAGCGAGTGGAAAGTCGAACCCCGCAAGACGAAAACCCTAAAAATCTAAAATCCCCCAATTCTCTACGCGCCTTAACCTCACTCGCCTTCGGTTTTCGCAGAATCATCACTCATGCTATTTCACCTCCACTTCAGGTTGCTCTCTTTCTTTCTTTCATTCTCAACTATTTTCCTTTTCCAATTTTGCTTTCTTGAGTATTTGTCAATTTCTCTGTTCTTTTTCTTACTTTTTTCTTTCAAAGTATTTATATGATTGTTATATGTTGAAGCCATCAAAATTATTTAGTTATGTTAATTTTCTATTTGTCTCATGAATTTATTATTTTGGGGTTTATGTTTTTCTCTCAGTAATGTGAATCTAAATGAAATTGGAATTATAAATTATTTGGTCCCATGGATATTAGATTGCTCATATAAAAATCATTGTCTTAAATTATTTGCCTGCTTACTGTTTTTCATTTGGATATTAGCTTAATATATATTTCTCTTCAATTCTGTAAAATTGTTATCTTGCTGTTCTTTTACAATGTTGGTATTCAAGAAATGATTCTCTTGTCTTGTACATACATAGAGCTGAGGAACATTGCCATGTCCTTATTTATTGCTATAAGTTATTGCTGACAGTGATTTAGCTTTTGCATTTGCTTCATTCAATGATATATGTCTATACCCTGTATTAGTCTAGAGTTATGAAGGACTTGCTGACCTGAATTTATTTGTTAAATTCAAAGCTCTTGATCTCAATATGAAATTTGTCATGTTTCTTTTTCTTTTTGCTTATAAGAGATGTCTCATTCTGACCTTCCTTCTGGTTCAGTCAGGGAAAATTTTGGTTGAAGTAAATAAGTTTCGATCATGGACATAAATATTGGATTGCCTTCTGGTGAACAATGTAAGGAAGATGAAGATGCAAATGGAATTGATAATATGTTAGATGGTGATGAAAAACTGCATAATGGAGTAGTTGAGGCTGGGAGTTTCGCTCATGTAGGAGAGGATTTACATGCTGAAGACTGTGGGGAAATGAGTTGTTCTGCCGTGGATATGGTGACATTCAAGGAGGATACCAATCTCGAGCCACTTTCTGGCATGGAGTTTGAATCGCATGGGGAAGCATATTCATTTTATCAGGAATATGCTCGATCTATGGGATTCAACACTGCTATTCAAAATAGCCGCCGTTCGAAAACATCAAGAGAATTTATTGATGCAAAGTTCGCCTGCTCTAGATATGGGACTAAGCGTGAGTATGACAAATCCTTTAATCGGCCGCGTTCCAGACAAAGCAAGCAAGATCCAGAAAATGTAACTGGTCGGCGATCATGTTCTAAGACAGATTGTAAAGCAAGCATGCATGTGAAGCGAAGGCCTGATGGAAAATGGGTTGTACATAGTTTTGTCAAGGAACATAACCATGAACTTTTACCTGCCCAAGCTGTCAGTGAACAGACTAGAAGAATGTACGCTGCAATGGCTAGACAATTTGCTGAATACAAAAATGTTGTTGGTCTGAAGAATGATCCCAAAAATCCATTTGAAAAAGGTCGGAATTTGGCACTTGAAGGAGGAGATGTTAAGATTTTGCTAGAATTTTTTACTCACATGCAGAACTTAAATTCAAACTTTTTTTATGCGGTAGACCTTGGTGAAGATCAACGTCTGAAAAGTTTGTTTTGGGTTGATGCAAAGAGTCGGCATGATTACAGTTATTTCTGTGACGTTGTGTCTTTTGATACTACTTATGTCAGAAACAAATATAAAATGCCTCTTGTGCTATTTATTGGTGTGAACCACCATTACCAGTTCATGCCCCTTGGATGTGCATTGGTATCAGATGAGAGTACAGCAACGTTTTCTTGGCTAATGCAGACGTGGCTGAAGGCAATGGGTGGACAACCTCCTAGAGTGATAATCACCGACCAAGACAGAACTGTCAAATCCGTTGTTGCAGAAATCTTACCAAATACTTATCATTGCTTCTTTCTGTGGCATGTACTGGGGAAGGTTTCTGAGAATCTTGGTCCAATAATCAAGCAGCACGAGAATTTTATGGCAAAATTTGAGAAATGCATCTACAGGTCATGGACAGAGCTGGAGTTTGAGAAAAGGTGGTCAAAAATTGTTGATAGATTTGAACTTAAAGATGATGAATGGATGAAATCATTGTATGAAGATCGCAAAAAGTGGGTGCCAACCCAGCTAATGGATGTTTTGTTGGCTGGGATGTCCATGGTTCAAAGATCTGAGAGTGTTAACTCATTCTTTGATAAGTATGTACATAAGAAGACCACAGTGCAAGAGTTTTTGAAACACTATGAAGCAATTTTACAAGATAGGTATGAAGAGGAAGCGAAAGCAAATTCTGATTCATGGAGCAAGGTGCCTACTCTGAAATCTCCATCACCTTTTGAGAAGAGTGTTGCAGGGGTGTACACACACACTGTATTCAAGAAGTTTCAAGTTGAGGTTGTGGGTGCAATTGCTTGTTCTCCTAAGCAAGAAAATCAGGAGGGTACCATCTTCAGAGTGCAAGATTTTGAGAAGAATCAGGATTTTCTTGTTACATTGAATCAGACGAAGTCTGAAGTTTCTTGTATATGCCGATTATATGAGTATAAAGGCTATCTCTGCAGGCATGCTCTGGTTGTTCTCCAAATTAAGGGTCATTCAACCATCCCATCCCAATACATTTTGAAACGATGGACAAAAGAGGCAAAGAGCAGGAATTTCATGGGGGAGGAATCTGAACAGGTGCAATCCAGGGTGCAGCGATACAATGATCTATTTCAACGGGCGATTAAGTTGATTGAGGAGGCTTCACTGTCCCAAGAGAGCTACTATATTGCATTCCGAAGCCTGGAAGAAGCTTTTGGGAACTGTTTGAGTGCAAATACTTCTAACAAGAGCCTTGCAGAAGCTGTCACATCTCCCACCCAGGGTATGATATGTATTGAAGAAGATAATCAAAGCCGAAGCACGAGTAAGACTGTTAAGAAGAAGAACCCTACCAAGAAAAGAAAGGTTAATGACATATAGCTTTTGGCATGGTGGATATGTATCTGTAAAGTATATATACAAAGTCCTTACTGGGAGTTTTGTGAATTTTTGTTGTGCGCTTATGTTTGCAGGGAAACTCAGAACAGGAGGTGATGACTGTTGCAGCAACAGATGGCTTGCAGCAAATGGTTAGTCCTGATTCATAATTTCACCAGATATGTTAAAGATGTTTTAATGAGTTGCAATGCCAGAATTGTAAATAATCGTGGCTTTTGAAATTTGAGGAAATTTTCTCATGGATTTGTATTAAAATTGTTCAGACTATGATCCTTGAATTTTGTTTTGTAGGATAAGTTAAATCCAAGATCAGTAGCCATAGATAGTTATTTTGGTGCGCAACCAAGTGTCTCAGGAATGGTAAGAATTGTCACAATTGACTTCATTTATGTTTTAGGTCAGCTGTATATATTTTCTAGCCTTATGCTTTTTGCAGGTGCAGCTTAATTTAATGGCACCACGTGATAATTATTATGGGAATCAACAGACAATTCAGGGGCTGGTATGTCTCTTACTTTG